TAATTATTTTCAACTTGTTTTCATCTTGAGTCAACGTGTATATAATGTGAATGTATAGTTACTCTGACTTCGCAGTACTGCATTGTTTTAAATGTAAAAATAATAAAAATATATTGAAAAAAAGAGAAAAAACAAAGTCCAGGTGCTTTTTGAAAAAGCACCTTGGCGACATCCATGACTTAGATGATTGAGGATCTCTGGAGACATCCCAGACAAATTCATATCCAGTCTTGCTCTGTTGTTTTTCTCTGCACTGGGGCAGTGAATAATTCCCTATACAGTGATTCTTCCTCTCTTTATCAAATGCTGCAAGAGGAAAGTAGCTTAGTTCTTGCACAGATATAGTCCTCAATTTACAACCACAAGATGAACCAGAACCTTTGTCACTGTAAGCTGCCTTGTTAAGTGGAACGTTGTGTAACCTCCACTCCTCTTTCTGCTCCCTGTTGCATGTAGACGGGTTTAGGAAAGTGGTGAACATCGAGCAAGGTGGACTTGTGAAGCCCGAACGTGATGATACGGAGTTCCAGCATCTTTATTTCCTACAAGGACATGAACATCTTTTGGAGCTCATCAAAAGGAAGGTAGGGGATGCCTTGTTGACATTCGTCAAAATTCACCTGGGAATTTGTCTAAAGTTCCCTTTTTTCCAATTGCAATGTGGGTGCCTTGTCAGAGTCTCCATTTCCCCAGCTGGGAATTGGCTCCCTTGTTTGGAATTTTGGGAGTATCCTGTGTTTGGACAAAGGAGTGGTTCATGTTTGATTTCATCTTTCCGAGGTCGGTAAAATGAGGACCCAGATTATTGGCGGATATAGGCTGACTCTGTATAGTGTGGTGGCCTACAGGTGGAGCTCTCACCTCACAATCAGGAGGCTGGGAGTTCAATCCTAGGTAGAGGCAGATATTTCTCTCTCTCGGTATGATGAGAATATATCTGCTGAACAAAACTCTGCATTGGCAACAAGTAGGACATCCGGCCACTCTGTTAGCTCCATCCAGTTGCCAAGACTCCATCCTGCAAGGGATTGTGGGGTCGTTAAAAGAAGACAACTGTGTTTGGACAAAACAGCAGCCGTGAAAAGAGATTTTATTTTTCACACACACACAAAAAGCTACCGTTGGATAGTGTGGCCAGTCCCCGGTTCCATTTATTGCGGGGAAGTAAAGTTGCATTGGCAGCACACCAGCACTTCCCTTTGTATACCCAGAGTGGGCAGGGCCAAACATTGCAGCTCTATTGTTTGCTTGATGGGTGGGCTGGAAGGATTTTAAGATAGCTTCCTTAACACTCACATATTCCACATCCTTCAAAGAGACCAAATCCATTTAGGTCTTTAACCATTAAGCTGAAGGAAGGTCTTCCTGAGAGGAGATGCTCTTCCCCAATGTACATTCCAGCCTGCTCTCTTGGGCCTGACAGTGGGACATATTCCAGCAAAACAATGTTGGGATTGTGAGCTGGCACCTTTCAGGGGTATTTTTCCCCCCAACATTTTTTATTTTTTATTCTCTTACATACCATTTTAAGTATTACATTCACATAATTGTTATTCTTCTTTACATTTGTCATTCTTATACATTTATTATTTCGTTTAATAGGTTATAATATACAGTTTGGGTTGCTTTATTTACTATCCCTTCCGCCTGTTGTAACACCACCTTGTTTTCCCTTCCTTTTCTCCCTCCCTCCCTTCTCTACTTCCTTCCTTCCTCCTCTCCTTCCCCTTCCTTCTTCCCTTCCCTTTCTCCTACTCCTACTTTTACTCTTCCCCTTCCTACCCTCTCTCCTTCTCTTCTTTTCCCTTCCATCTTCCTCTCCTTACCTCTTTCTTCTTTTCTCCATCTTCCTTTCATTCTCTCCTCCTCTCTCCCTCTCTTTTTCTGTTGTAGGTGTCACTTTCAAATCTCAGTTTATGTTTTCTTGGGATGGTATTTCCACAAGCCCAAATATATTTTGGTATCATTTCTTATTCCCTTACCTTCGCTAATCTATCCTAACTATGTTTTTTCCCCTTTATATCTTGCTCTTGAATATATACTTNCATGCCCAGAAGATGGTGAGAAGAAAACTCTCTTTTTCATATCATCTCCTGTACCATTTATTCCCATCCCAAATACCATGCCCCCACCCTCCCTGGCAGCCGATAGCAAGTAAGCGAAGCAGAGGCTGACAAATTTGAATCCTTTCAACAACAAATCACGAAAAATGAGAAAAAATTACAAGAAATAGAAGTGAGGATGGAGAAAGAAGAAAAAAGAGTGGATAAAATTAGTGAAAAACTAATTCAGGCAAACAAGCAGTTGGAAAATACAGTCATATTTTTAGAATCCAAAAAATCAGGTCATTATCTACGCTTTCAGAATGTAAGAGGATAAAGGAGAAGACTTACCGGAAATCATGGCAGAAATATTAGCAAAAGCACTTGGAATAGAGAAAGAGATGCTGACATAGAACTGGTAGTAAAAAAATTTGAAACCCACCCCTGATGCACTTACCATATTTTTCGGAGTATAAGACGCACCACAGTAAAAGACGCACCAAGATTTTTTTAAAAAATTAAAAAGTTTTGTTGCACTCTGCAAGCCTCCCAAAAATAGCCCGTTTTTTGCGAAAATGGGCCAGTTTTTCCCCCCAAAAAGGGCATGGATGGCCCTTAGGAGGCTTGTAGAGCACTCCTGGGTGGGGTGAGGGAGCAAAAAATGAGCCAAAAAACAGTCCATTTTTCACAAAAACAGGCCCATTTTTGTAAAAAAAAAAAAAAGGGGCATGGATAGCCTTTGAGAAGCTTATAGAGTGATCCTGAGGGCTGGGGGGGGCAAGATTTAGCAACGAACAGCCCATTTTTTGCTCATTTCTGCCCTCCCCAGCCCCCAGGAGCTCTCTAAAGGCCTCCTACAAAGCTATGCATGGCCATTTTGGTGAAGGGGGTGGGATTTCAGGAGGCAAAAATGCTGTATTCAGTGTATAAGAAGCACCCAGATTTTCAGCCTCTTTTATGAGGAAAAAGGGGGCATCTTATACTCCAAAAATACGGTAATCAGGGTTTCCTCAGACCTGATAAACACCACTACAATTGCCAATAGAAGAACTTAGATTATTCCACTGGGATGAAATTTATAAGAAACATATNAGGGGATAAATTGGCGATAGAAATTTGCAAATCCCAAAAAACTTTGTAGTTGCTTGCAGGTGCAAGGAGGTGCCCATTCAGTTATAGCCCGGACCTTTGTGGGAGAGACAGTATCCCAAATAAACTATCCTCTCCTGGTGAAATTCACATTTAGACAATTTGGCATAAACTTCAGCAGCCCAGAGTTTTTGGGAACCAAGCATATCAAAGTCACGTGTTCCTCATGTGTTTCTGTGTAGATAAGGATGTTGTCAAGGTAAACCAACACCCCCTTATACAGATGATCATGCAAGGCTTCATTTATTAATTGCATGAAGACTGCTAGCGCCCCCTGAAGTCCAAATGGGAGTACTCTAAACTGGAAACCTCCCAAAGGACAGTTGAAAGCAGTTTTCCACTCATCTCCCTCCTTTATTCTGACTCTGTAGTATGCTTCCCTTAGGTCCAACTTCATGAAAATTTCCCCTTTACCAAACTGGTCTAACATGTCCTTCAGGAGTGGCACGGGTACACATTGTCCACGCAAATGGCATTAAGATTTTTGTAATTAACACATAAGCTAAATGAGCCATCTTTCTTTTCTCTCAACAATAAAGGTGCGGCCACCCTTGGTCTATCTAGTTTTATGAACCCCCTTTTTAAATTTTTGTCAATGAACTTTCGTAATTCCTCCATTTCACATGGGGTCATCGAATAAATCTGAGGCTTAGGGAATTTTTTCCCTGGGAGAATCTCAATGCTGCAATCAGTGGCGCAGTGGGGGTAGTTTGTCAGAGACCTTTTCACTGAAAACCTCCCTGAGGTCCCAATATTCTTTGGGAATGTTCTCTTCTTCAATCTTTTCCTGCAATGCAGCAGCTAGGTTTATTTCGGCATTGGCTATATGGGACATCCTCCCCCTCCCCTCAGGGGGTTTAGCAGAATGAATGCACAACCACCCTTTCTTCCAGTTCACGTACAGGTTCCAATTCTGTAGCCACAGTAATCCCAGTATGAGGGGCCGATCCATCCCAGGCGCCACAATGAAACACAAGGTTTCTTGGTGATCCCCTATCCACATTTCTATTGGTTCAGTTACAAAATGGGCAGGGGTACCCCCATCACTGAGCCATTCAATTGGCAAAAGGCAATGGACACTTTCAAAGTCTTCAGTCTTAGCCCCATTTTCTCCACCACTTCTGGGCTAATTATGCAACGAGTGCATCCAGAGTCTAAGAGGGCCAGCATTTCTCCTTGGGCTCCAGTAGAGCGCACTTTAAGTTTTACTGGAATGGTTATGGGGCTCGATCGGGGACTTACCAAGTAGTCATCATCGGAGTCAGTTTCACTTTCTCCCAAAAGAAAGGAGAGCTCTTATCCCTCCAGGATGGGAGGGAAATCCTCATCAGCTTCTACCCATTTCAAGGCAGTTTCTTTGCATTTCCCCAGCTATCAGTCTGATTTCTTCTCTCCAGCAGTGTTGGGTTTTGGGCCAATTTTTGAGTAGCAGCTTGCTGCTCAGTGCTCCTCCTTCCCACATCAGAAACAAGCAGTAGACCGGGCTTACTTGCAGACCCTCCCTTTCCTTCCCTCAAAGCTCTTTTGGGGTGGGTGGGAGGGGGATTCTTGACTTTATCACTGCCTCCCCATATTTATTCCTGGCTAGGTCAATTTCTACATCTACTGCCATCTCATACCAGCATTGCAGGTTGCATGGGGTCCCTCTATTCACACAGATCTGGTATATATCTTCGTTCAGACCATCCATAAAACTGTCCATTAAAGCATCCTCAGACCATTCCCGCATATGCACAGACAACTCACGAAACTCTTGGATGTACTCAGCCACTGGACTTCTACCCTGAGTAAGAGACTTCATCTTGGTTCTCGCCTTTCACTCAGCTAGGGGGTCATCAAAGCGCTTCCACAGGGGAGCCACAAAAATATTGTAATCCCTCAGGTGGGGGGAGTCATCATTATGCAAAGTAACCATCTAGGCTGACGCTTTGTTCTCCAATGCCATAGTCACAGCTCTTACTTTGGCTTCCTCATTAGGGAAATCCTCTCCATACTGTTGCATGTAATTCCAGACCTGGACCAGGAAAAATCCCAGTTCTTGGGGGGTCTCCTCCGAATTTCACGCCAAGGGGAGGAACCTTTGGCATTCAGATTCTGCGGGAGAGCCCTCCCCCCTTGGAGGGGCTCAGATGGCTGCTACTTCTGGAACTGGGGCTCTCCCATCCCGATCAGCTCCGCTGTCTGCTCCCAGGGTCCCCCCCCTGGTTAGACAGGTCTTCTATACGTCTCTCTTCTTGATCAGCAAAATCAGCTTCCCTTTCAGCATGGCTCTCATGGAAATGGCATTTCTCCCATGCCTCTTGAAAAAGTTTCAAAGCATGGGTCATCATAAGGTCTTCTAGTCTCGGGTCTCTATGAGTATAATATGCTTACTAAGTATTAAGTATTAATAT